TAGGCCGCTTGGATTTTCTCGAGAAGATATCTCTTGCCACCTTAGCAAAGTGCCTGACCAGCCAAGGAGGACACACTTGGGCCTCGGAGGTCTGCGAGCTGCCCCGCACGACATGATGCGAGTGACCTCCGGCACACCTGCAAGCAGCAAACGACGTGGCGACCAGAAGATCGCCACTGATCAGTCGGGTGGGATTCTTGGAATACAAACCTTCAGCACTAGCACGGAGTCCGAAACGGCACACGTCGAAAACAACACAAGAAACCCGATTATCTCGCAGCAAACCTCCCAAACACGGCGACCTCCAACTGGCCGCGCTTTCCGGGCACTATAATAAACACCACCACCCCAATGAAATCTGGAAGACCGCTAAATCAACCGCGAAGCGGAGAAGCACCATGTCTCCTATCTGTTCCCAAAGGCTTTCAACCGGATCCGAGACGTTCTTGGGAATCTCAAAGGCGACGCTTAACACGCGACAAGGGGGGTCCAAAAACAAACCTGAGGTTTCCGATTCTTGACCAGCTCTCTCGCCACATGACGATCTTTGGCTCGAGTAAAATCCCAGCCGGTCGCAAGGTCCAGACCCCCTTGGTCGCCGGGGCCCATCTCGATAGCTTCGGGTCCGATACGAGGCGGGGAAAAGACTTCCATCACCTGTTTCGACCCCCCTTCCGGACTCTACAAGATCCTTCCTTGCGAGAAACAAGTCCCGACATAAAATCGCAGGTGACCTCCGGAGCGCCGGCCGCAGACTGTCGGGCGGGGATTTCCCTGAGGAAGACGTGCTGGTGGAAGTTCATCTCGAGGAGGCCGGACATGTCGTTCGCCGCCTCCGGGATGGCTTCCGCGAGAGCCAGGTGCTCAATGGTTTTCTCCATCTCCCGTCGCTGTCTGCGAGACATGATTGCCTCGCAATCGCCGTTAAACTCGGCATCTCGAATTAGAGCTCGCCATGCATCGCAGCGCGCCACGAGATACTGGTGCCGAGACTGGAAGCCCCCCTGGACCGGTTCTTCCAACAATCGCGGAGATCATCTGCGACATGCGTTGAACGTCTGGGGGGGCCCCTGAAGCCCGCGACCTGGTCCAGGGCGTAGCCCGCGGGGCCCGCCCTTGATGGCCAGCTGACTGCCCTCCTTCCTGGGCTAGGGCCAGTAGTCCAGACGCATCTCGCAGGTGGTGCACTTGATCCAGCAGGCGCCCGCGACGGCCTGGAGGATGACGGCACTCGAGCATCTGATCCGCGACCCGTCTCTGTCGCCTCGGGAGTGCCACTGGCCAGTCGGCCGCTCCTCTGGAGGCCCAGCATCGACATTCCAAGGCACTCGGCATTGATGAGTGACCTGCTCACCAGCAACACCCACCGCAGAGAGAACTCTGTCACCTCGACTGGCACCGTCGACCCCGTCTGCACGTAGACCTGAAAGTCCCCCATGAGGTGCATCGGGAGGCACAGTGACGTTCACTGGAGTATGTCCCTGAACCTTTCGGGATTCCTGAGAACCCGAGCAAAAGGACACGCGACGCTTGGACTTCAGGAGTGCGCAGGTAGCGTCCAGGACGTCTGACGCGCACGAACGTTCTGAGACTCGCTTGTTATCTGAAGCTGCGTCGCACGTGTCCGACGAGGCGTGCTTCTCTGGACTGTCCGTCGTCTCTCCCAGCTTCCGAGCTGCGCCCCATTGTTCCGACGAGACAGCGTCTGTGATATGCTTTCGGCGCCCCGAGCCTGTGCCACAATGTCCGGGGTCTGCTGGGTGAGCCTCTGGGCCTTGGAGGTTGGAGCCCTTAGAAGCCTGTGTTGACATGTCTTGGAGTGGCAAGAAGGATTTGGCATCTAGGGGGAAGCAACAGCACTGCTAGCTGATGTCGTAGCTGTCCTAGTGCCCGGCGGACCCCGAGCGACCGCTCGACGGTTCCTATGCGAGACCCCAGGCCTTCCGATGTGGGTTTGAATACTCTGGGGTTCGAGCTGTCTGGCGCTGGCTCCCTTTCCGCTGGCCCCGGGGCCCCGAGGTCGCGACGCACCTCCGCTGCTAAGCCCTCGCCGCTGCGACGTCGCTGCCGCGCGGCCGCTGCCGCCATCTGCCGTCGTCGACTTGTTGCTTGGCGCTGGCATAAGGAAGTCTGCCTTCGTGAGACCGAACTTGGCAGCGGCACCCTCGGGCACCTGAAACTTGGCCGGGGGTGGTAGCTCATCCACTCGAATCGACTGGTGCCCAGAGGAAAGCCTTCGCAGCGCGGCGGTCCTATTCAGGGCCTTCTCCTCCAAATGGACCTAGCATCGACTGGAGGCCCATCAGCAGCAAAGCCGGAACCACCTCACTGATGGAATCGATCTCCACGACTCGCTCGCAACTTTCAATCCCTGCGGGAAGCAACAAACCTGTTAGAATTCTCGTCTTTCCGCCCGCCCCTCGGGCGGACTGTCTCCTACTCGAAACGCGGGGGATTCGATATCCAAGTTGAGCGAGACGACTTTCCATGCTCCTGATAGATTCTGGCCCGATCAATCCCTGCCCAGCAGCTGCGTCGACTATCATCTCGCCTCCTGCGGTCGCGAGAAAGACGCCCGGGGCCTGCGGGGTCTGGGACTTGTCGATCAAGTCGCGGAGAGTCTCTAGACAAGAGGACGCGAGGACCAGGCCGGACGAATGCGAGCCGTCGTTCTGGAAGACGAAACCCGTGGCAAGCGGCCCTGAGGACGTCGGGCCCGAAGCCCCGGGCACCTCCGGGTTCTTGCAGTCTCGGGCCCAATGTCCTTTCTGCTGGCAGCGGTGGCACGTCGTGACCTTCATGCGGGCTTGTGGAGAAAATCTCTCTTTGCGAGGCCGCTTCTGTCCGCCCGGGCTGCGTTGTTTTTTTTTTTGTTCGGCGGGCCTGTCGGGGAGAACTTCCTATCGACCTTCAACCTTCTCTTGAAATCTTCGTCCTCCTTCCAGGTCTCGCGGCGCTCCGCGGAGAGCTCCGCCAAGATGGTGGGCACCTCCAGCTCATTCAGGTCTGCCTGCTCGATGGTCACCATAATGGCGTTCTCGAGCGCAGAGGTCAGGGAGGAGACGCTGGAGGCTCCGTCGTCGTCCTCAACGGAGGTCCCGGAGCCGATCTCTGACGCAAAAGTCTTCTTAGACGAAGTGCTCATTGTGAAGGGTTCGTTTCTGGTCATGTGCATCTCACACATGGCCTGCAGCAGATCGGTGTACTCGCCGGAGCTCCTGCTGAGAATTTTGAGCATATGCTTGCCGGCGTCGTCCAGGCCGACTCCTTCCTCGATGAAAACACAGCGCCAGCGGCTGCTCAAATCCAAGCATTGTGTCGCTAGGCGGTCGAAGACCTGGGCCATGTGCGCTGCGTAGAGGCTGAGCGGCCCACCCTGGCGCCGCTGAAAGGCGCGCAGACATTCTGGACCCGACCTCCTCATTTGATCGTCTTGTCGCTGTCCGCTGAACACGTCTAGTAGCTGCAAAACTGTTTGGGGGCCACGAGAGGAGAGGATAACATGATCTGGGATATCCTCGAACTTTTTCCTGAGTTCGAGGTCCAGCACCTTTAAAATCCTGTCGGCCCGTCGACTGGTGGAGACTCCCGTCCCGGAGAGCCAACGTGTTATGCTGCGCCGGACACGGTACTCACCCCACCCAAGCCACGGGTCCGGGTCCGGCATGTCTGGTTTCCCCCGCCAGTTGTTCGACGAGGTCCACCTGTCCTGATACCACACATCCTCGTACCAAGTCTTGTTCAGGCTCCAGTCCGCGGCCGAGGAAGGTTCCCACCACACATTCGCACAAGTTCCCCAACTCGAACCAGTAGTACCCCATTGCGGGTGACCTTCTCGGCCGCCTCGACCCGAGTCCTGATTCCATGGGTCGCCGATCTGATCCCAGGAGCCGCTGTCTCCTCCGCCAGAGTGTGGTCGAGACGCACCTTCTGGTTCTTCTCTGGCGGTGGCTGCGTCTGCAAGAGCTTCGCGAAGCTCACGACGCAATAGCTGTCTGATCTCTGTCATCTGCTCTCTGGAGAAGGCCGACGCCGACTCTGGGGCCGTTGGGCCCTCTGCAGCATCTGCACGTTCCGAAAGACCGTCCTTAGTTCGATCGCCACTGGCCGCCGGCATGGCGGCGGCAACTGGAGGCGTCCGGGGAGAACCGAACGCTCCGCTACCATTGACGCGTCAAAGATGGTCAGTGGCGAAAACGAGGGACGATGTTTTCATGAAACATGATGCCAGAAGGTGCCTGAGATCAAACAGCAATGGAAATACCGAAACACAAAGAGACAGACTGACATATGATGTCTGATATCATGCGCTAAACACTTGATAGGAGAATGGTTCAACTCAACCGGCTCAAATTTCTACAAAAGCTGAATAAAACCAGATTAAACCATATTCAACCATGTTAAACGTACTTAAACCACATGAATAAGACCATATTGAATACCAAAACAGGACAGCCCTGAGCAGCTGCTGCAGGAGCTCTCGAGCCTGCAGCCAGACACCGAGCGGAAGCGGAAAGATCACTGAGCATGCGAAACTCGTGAGTGAGCAGCCGCGGCACGGGTGCGGCGCGGTTACCTTCCGAAGTGGAGCCCTCCCTTGAGGCACCATCAGTCTAGGGAGAATCCACACAGATACACGGATGTGTGGAATCCTCTCAGGGGCGTGCTCTCGTTTGCAGTCATCCCGATAGCCACGATCGTGCACGCCAACACGCCGTACCAACAAGAAAGTGGATGCGTCGTTTCAGAACGGGACTGTCGTAAGAATGGCAGGCACACGAGGTGGCGAGGTTTCAAGCAAGCACTCGCTGCAGTGGAAACTGTTATACATATTTGAGGATGGGAGTGTGTAGCGTAGCTTGACGTATCATGAATTACCTTTGGTCATCCTTATGTTCATCCGCATCTACCGCGCCTCCCTACATCCTTTTCATCCTCAACCTTCCTTCTCTCCCCAACCGAGCAGTCGGCAAGTCAGCACGCTTAACTCTCAAGCCGTCCTCCAAGAGCACCATCGCAAGCTTGCAGCGTAAGGGGCAATGAAGGCCTCATGATCGCCCGCTTGCTAGGTCCTCCTCCCTCCCATTCGCATTTCCTGGAAGCATGACTCCTACTCATACCTCTAACCACAGTTACACATCATACACGGATCCACCACCCCTCATTCAGATCCATAGCATATCAGACCGATGTGATACAACATCACACTCGCAAGCATTCGAACGTATGCGGATGCTCTTGATACAAACATGGTTTTGAGCTGAGGCACACTCAAACACATACACTGAAGGGAAACTGGGACACACAAATAAATACACACAAATAAAAAGATTCCCCCATATTTTCTGGGTTTTTGTCTTCCCCACCACTTCCCATATTTTCCCATATTTTCTGGGAAATCGACGATTAATTGTGTCTGTGTGTTTTTTCCCCTCCTGATACACGCAGCATTAACACTGCCGAAACTCGTACCCGAACGAAAATTCAATCTCATTCTCGTGCTCCTCAGCGCACTGGTGAACACGCGCGTGACCGTGCACTCCATGGCGGTCAGCCCTCCACAAGTACCACTGACGCGTCCTTCACGGCACCCTCGCAGCCCACTGCAGGATTCGACAAAGCAGCCCCAGGCACCCGCGCAGCGTTGAGAAGATGCTCATGCTGCCACTCCTATCTTGGCAGCAGGGTGACTCGACAGGCGGGCATCGCAAGAGACCCCGGCATCGAAGCACTGAAAGCACACGAAACGCAGCCGGGCCCACTCTCTCTCCCCAACGGCGACATGTCCACGCCATCAGCACACGCACGACAGGGGGGCCGAGGCCGGACTCCCTATCTGGCAACACGGGCCACCTTGATCGCTCTCCGATCTTCCTCCTCCACCACCCTCTCCTGCCCTGTCCTCCCGCCCCTCCAGGGGTGAAGCAGACAGTGCCCAGAAGACACTGGAGAGAGAGAGCGAGAGAAAGAATTAACTGAAAATGAAAGCGTCAAAAGGGAGAGAGCGAGAGAGAGAGAGAGAACACAAAAAGAGAGAGAGAGAGAGAGAAAGAGAGAGAAAGGGAGACAAAGACAGAGACAGTAACAGAGGCAGAAACAGAAACAGAGACAGGGACAGAAACAGAGATAAAGGCAGAGACAAAGAGACAGAGCGAGAGAGACAGAGCGAGAGACAGACAGAGACACAGAGCGAGAGAGACAGAGCGACAGGCAGGAATAGAGACACAGACAGAAACAGAGACAGAGACAGAAAAAAAAAATGACGAAAGAGAAAGAGAAAGAGAGAGAGAGAGCGAAAGATAATGAAAAACATAAAGATACTGAGAGAAATCCAAAGAGGGATATACAGAGAGAAAAAGAAAGAGAAATATATTAATATAAGTGTACACATAACTTGGATACTATATCTATACTGCAAGGAAGGAGGGGAGGCGCGATGAAGGTTATGCAAAAGACTTTCCCCCACATTCCCACCACATTCCGATCGTTTTCCCTCACCCTCCCCACTCGCTCTTCTCATCCCACTGCTACTGCCTCGTCCTCGCGCGTCGGTTTTCTCCTCATGCCCCCCCCCTGTCCCCCACAACGCCTCCAACCCCTCTCTCCTCCACCAGCGCCCCAACGCTCCTCTCCCCCATTTTCTCCCCCATCTGCAACCCTCGTTTCCGTATCCTCTTCCACGCTTTCCTCCACATCATGATCCCGCTCCCCCGAAACCCTCCCGCCCACCCCACCCCCCATTTTTCCCGTCCTTCCGCGCCCCCCCTCCGCCTCTTCCCATCCCCCATCCCCCAGCCCCCCCCTCGCCGCGCCCCTCCCGCCCAGCCCGCGGGGCTCGCCAGACGGGAAGGCGGGCCGGGCAAGCGCGCAAGCGGAGGCTCGGGCCACCAGGCGCGAGACGGCACGAGCAACCAATTTTCGACGACGACGACGACGACGATGACGACGACAACGAGGCCGACGACGACGACGACGACGACGACGACGACGACGACGACGACAAGGCCAACGACGAGGCCAACGACGACGAGGTCGACGACCACGGCAACGACAACGACGACGACGACGACGACGACGCCGACAACGCCGACGACGACGACGACGACGACGACGACGAGAACGCAGACGAAAACAACGCCGACGACGACAACGACGACGCCGGCGACGACGACGACGACGACGAGGCCGACGACGACGACGACGACGCAGACAACGCCGACGACGACGACGACGACGACGACGACGACGACGACGCAGACAACGCCGACGACGACGACGACGACGACGATGAAGACGACGGTATCCCGAAAGTCATGTCGAAATTGTCGTCGATGTGGCCAGCTGCCTCCGGGAGAAGCTGGCACCACGCCGTGGCTGTGGTCGGATGCAGGGGCGACGCGAGCCGCGCTGGCGGCGAGACGCAGGTCGAGGCGGGGCGCGGGCGTGGTCACGGCACGGGGGTACGTCGACGAAGGGCGGCACGGTGCGAATGATTTCAGCGGCGACGGCGACGCACGGCGCGGTTGCGCCGAGGACAAGGCGGCGGCTTTGTCGGAGAAGAAGCCCAGGAGGGCGGCGGGGGGCGGCGGCGGCAGTGGGGGGGGCGGCAGTCGGCATCCGAGGCGTCACGGATTTCAGCGGCGATGAAGACGGCGCGCTCATCCCTGGAGATGAGGGCGAAGCTTCTCGTCTGCGCGGAGCGGGGCGCGCGCGTTGGCAGCGCCGACATCGACCAAAAAAGGGAGCGACGCGCGCGGGAAGCGAGCTGGCCGCGGGCGTCCGCGCGGGCGCGCCAGGGGCCCGAGCCCTGCCTTCGCCCGAGTACACGGTGAATTTGCAGGGCCACATAGCCACCTGGCCAATGCCACGCGAACGAGGACGCGAGGCATTGGCCCGGGGCGGATCAGCAACGGGGCGACGGATGGCGTGCCTGGGGCGCGCGCGGGGGCCGACGACGGGAGGCCGCACCTGTTCTGCATGTGGAAACGGGCGCGCTGCAATCGGCAGCACTGCGGGCGCGCGCCTCTGCCTGCCTGCACAGAGCGCGCGAGGAGATGAATACTACAAGGTTCGCGACACGAACCTGGACTGGGAGGAATGGTTGACGGGGGGCAGATCGGCGCGCGGGGGCGGCTGCGGCGCCGAGGGGCCAGGACACCGCGTTCGGCGGGGAGGGCGGAGACACTGCGGAGGGCGCGATGCAGCAGGACGGCGGCGCGGACGAAGGCAGCGGCGGGGGGGGGGGCACGCGGCGGCGCTCGAACGCGGCGGTCGAGGCGCGAGACATCCGAGGCAGAGGCCGCCAGGGACAGCGCGGGGCACGGCGGGGCACGGAAGCGGCGGCTCGGGGCGCAATACGTCGGAGGCCGAGGCTGCCGAGGGCGACGCGAGGCGCGGGGCCGCGGAGGAGGGGCGCGCCGGAGAGATCGCAGCGGAGGCGCTGGAGGCGCGGCCGGGGAGGAAGAGACCTCGGCGCAAGACGCCAGCCGAGGGGCGAGCCGGCGCGCGTCGCGGGGCGCGATGCTTCGGAGGAAGAAGGCGGCAGCAACGAGGTCGCCGCGGATATGGCAGAAGCTTCGGGGTCGAAGCGCGAGGATGGGCGTCCTGCATCAGATCATAAGTGCGCCTGAGAAGATGACGCGGCTGCGTTCCCGGGGGAGATGCGCCGCGAGCTCGACGAAGACCTGGCGCGCTTCGCCAGTGCTGGGCCGCCGACGCACGCAGATTCAATGGAGGCGCGAGCAGACGGGCGCGCCTCGCGCCGCGCGGGATTGCCGCGAAACCGGGGGCGGCGGCGCGCGCGCGCGGGCAGCGGTGCCCGCGCCGCATGCGAAGGACAAGCGGCTGCAGAGGTTGGTTGATGACGCGCGCGAGCACCTGGCGTCGCGGCGAGGGCGCGGACGGGCCGCCGCGCGGACGCAGGGATCGGACGGCGACACGTTGCTGGGTGCGCCGATGGAGCCAGGGCGGCCAGGGCGGTTCGAGCGCGTGCGGTCGCGGCCCGATCGAGTAGCGCACGTCGTCGGAGATTGCCGTGGAGGAGGACTGCCGCCGCCGCTCGAAGTGGCCACGGGTGCGCTTCGAGCGCACCGCGTTGCAGACGCCAGTCGTTTCCGAGGGCGGCGCGACGCAGCGGCGGGCAGCGCGGCGCTCCGACGAGGCGGGCGGGGGCGACGCAGACGATTCACAGGCTCCGTGGCTGGGTTAGCAGCGAACGCTGCTCGGGATGACGACGCGGTCGCGCCTCCAGTGGAGCGGCCTGCCGGGCGGGCGGAGCCCGCGGACGCGGCGGGAGCGCGGCGGCGGGGGCAGGGCCCGCAGGAGCGCGGAGCGGAGGAGGGGGCTGCGCAGACGCGTCGCGGAGCTGCGCGTCGTACTTCGCCACGCGCAGCGGCGCCGTCTTCAGCGCGAAAAGCGTGCACTTCTGGTGAGCGCCACCCGCCTCGGCTCGGCCTCGGTGGCCCAGTTTGCGCGTCGACGCGCCCGCGGTTCTAAACGCATCGCGCAACTTTGCCCGCGGTCGGAAATATGCTTGGTTATCCTCTGGCGCCCCCCGAAACGCGAAGACTTCCCACTTCCAGGGACGACCAGGTTCCGCGCGGTCATCCGAGGCCCATCTGCTTCGGACAACCTTTCGCATGTCCCCCGCAGCTCTTGCGCTTCCTCGTCTGGGGCCCTCGAGCCCCTCCTGGGCGGCGTGCTCGCCCGCGCCCCCCCCGGGCAGCGGTCCCGCCGCGCCCGCGCCCTCCTGCAGTTGGCCCGCCCAGGCGCGGAGGCGGCGCAGGCGATTCTGACGCGCGCGGTGAAGCTCACGCGCCACGAGTGCCAGGAGCGGCCCCCGGCGCCCAACCCTGCCTTCGAGCCGCTGGGCCAGCTCGCCGAAGAGACAGCATTGCTGCGGCGCTGCGGGGACGGCCTGGCCGCACGCGGCACGGAGGTGGCCAAGCGGGGCGAGATGCCTCCGAGCGACCCGCTGGACGGCATCGCTCTGGCACGGTCCCTGCGGCCCCCGATCGAACTGCCACAGCACTCGCTCGCAATGGCACGGCCCCCGCGGCCCCCGTTCGCACTGGCACGGCCCCACTGGCACGGCCCCCGCGGCCCCCGCTCGCACTGGCACGGCCCCCGCGCGCACTAACCCGGCACGCGCGGAGCCCAGTCGCACGGGCGCGGCCCCTGCTCGCATGCTCGCACTGGCACGGCTCCGGCGGCCCCCGCCCGCGCCGGCACGGCCCCCGCTCGCACCGGCGCGGCCCCCGCTGCCTCCGCTCGCACCGGCACGGCCCCCACTCGCACTGGCACGGGCCCCGCGACCCCCGCCCGCAATGGCACGGCCCCCGGACGCACTGCCACGGCCCCCGCTGCCCCCGCTCGCACGGGCGCTGCCCCCGCTCGCACTGGCATAACCCCTACGGCCCCCGCCCGCACTAACTACGGCCCCCGCTCGCACTGGCACGGCGCCCGCAGCCCCTGCTCGCACTGGCGCGGCCCCCGCTCGCACTGGCCGGGCCCCAGCGGCCCTCGCTCGCACCCGCGCGGCCCCCGCTCACACAGCCCCCGCTGCGCCCGCTCGCACAGGCACGGCCCGGCACGGCCCCCGCGGCCCCCGGCACGGCCACCGCGGCCCCCTTTCGCACTGCCACGGCCCCCGCGGCCCCTGCTCGCACCGGGGCTGCCCCCGCTCACTGGCATGGCCCCATGCGGCCCCCGCCTGCACTGGCACAGCCCCGGCTCGCGCTGGCACGGCCCCAGCAGCCCCCGCTCGCACTGGCGCGGCCCCCGCTCGCACTGGCACGGCCCCCGCGGCCCTCGTTCGCACGGACGCGGCCCCCGCTCACACTGCCCCCGCGGCCCCCGCTCGCACTGGCACGGCCTGGCACGGCCCCCACGGCCCCCAGCACGGCCACCGCGGCCCCCGTTCGCACTGCCACGGCCCCCGCGGCCCCCGCTCGCACTCGCTCGCACTGGCACGGCCCCCAGGCACCCGTTCGCACTGGCACGGCCCCCGCTCGCACCGGCACGGCCCGGGCCGGCGGCCCTCGATCGCACTGGCGCGGCACCCGCCCGCGCTGGCGCAGCCCCTGTGGCCCCCGCTCACACTACTGGTACAACCCCCGGTCGCACTGGCGCGGCCCCGCGGCCCCCGCACGCACCGGCGCGGCCTCTGCTCGCCGCGCTGGCACGGCCCCGCAGCCCCGGTTCGCACTGGCCCCCCCCGAACCGGCACGGCCCCCACGGCCCGCGCTCGCGCCGGCACAGCCCCCGCTCGCACTGGCACGGCCCTCACTGCCCCCGCCCGCATAGGCATGGCCCCCGAACGCGCTGCCGCGACCCCCGCGGCCCCCGCACGCACTCGCTCGCACTGGCACGGCCCCCCGGGCCCCCGCTCGCACTGGCACGGCCCCCGCTCGCACTGGCATGGCCCCAGCCAGCGGCCCTCGATCGCACTGGCGCGGCACCCAACCGCGCCGGCACAGCCCCCGCGGCCCCCGCTCACACCGGCACAGCCCCCAGTCGCACTGGCACGGCCCCGCGGCCCCCCCCCTGACACCGGCGCGGCCCCCGCTCGCACTGGCGCGGCCCCTGCTCGCCGCACTGGCCGTGCCCCCGTTCGCCCCGGCACGGCCCCCGCGGCCCCCGCTCGCACCCGCACGGTCCCAGCTCGCACTGGCACGCCCCCGCGGCCCCCACTCGCACTGGCACGGCCCCCGCTCGCACGGCCCCCGCCCGCAGTGGCACGGCCCCTGCTCGCACCGCCACTGCCCCCGCGGCCCCCGTTCGCACTGGCGCGACCCCAGCTCGCACTGCCGCGACCCGCGCGGCGCCCGCTTGCACGAGCACGGCCCCTGCCCGCACTGGCACGGCCCCCGCGGCCCCCGC